TGGTTGCTGTACAATCAATCTATTAAATTAAAAAAAAACGGCTTTCCCGGGTATGACGATAAACTACATCCGGCAGTAAAGGTTCTGATCGGGAAGATTTGAGGATTGTGGAACCACCTCTTAATTGATGTTGTTCCTAGGTTCATCCTGGCCCTATAAGATAACACCTGTTAGGGTCCCACCTATGAGCAAATAGTGAACCCCTAACATGTGGTAAAAAAAGTATAAAAATATATTTTCATTGTAAAATATACCAGCTTTATTTTCTTTCTTTAAATGTGCCGTGTCCTTTCCGCCATATTAACAATGACAAATTTTTGTAAAAGAAAAAAAAATAATAGCAATAGATTTTTGTAGAAAGAAAAAAATTACTCAAGCTCTCAAGAAAATTAAATTTCGACATTAAACGACCTATAATGATTTGATAAGTCGTTAACCCCGTCCCCGGCGTAGACGTGTATAAACGTTTTTACGGAAAGTGTCGTTTTCAGACACTGACGAATAAATACGTCTGAAATATCTCGTTCAAAAAACCAGCTAGAGGCGTGCTTATACGTCGATATTGATCCTTTTTATGTCCTTCTGAGCTTGAAACGAGTTCAATTGTCAATTCATACGTCTAGTAGAGGTGTTAGCCACTGTTCGAATAATTCATGGTGCCTCAATTTCTTAGTTACTATATTAATAACAAATAAAAATGAACCTCGTCTGAAAATGAAACTTTTTTCCCGAAATAACTGGCGGGGAAGGGATTAAACAAACAAGCAAACAAACAACCGACGGAGTCGATATGTCATTAAATCAATTAATCAATTTATTTGCAAAAAAAACGTCATAGTTTGAAAGGTTTAGGCTTACATTGAAATAGACCGATTCTTTTTCACGGGGCAGACGTCTTTGAGAAAGTGTATTATGCTTGAGGGTACAATAACGTAACACCGAATATATGACCGTATAACAATGTAAAGCTGCGATAGTCAAAAAGAAATACAACTTCAGAGAGACATATTTGAAGGAATTTCTTTCATGTACAAAACTAGGACAATAATAGATTATCGGAAACGTCCAGTTTATATATTTTGAAATGATTTACAAGTTTAAAACAAATGTATCTGAAGAGAAATAGACTAGAGAAAAGTGAAACGAATTTAGTTTTTAAATATGCATTAAACTACAGAAATATCATATAACATATTGAAGCGAATTCGCTCTCAATGACAGATGAAAGCTGCAGTATTTAAAAGTATTCACTGCTTACTTTGTCTTCCATGAAAAAGGAAGAAAGGCAAGTTAAAAACATTGATATAAATATGGCGGAATAACTTGTTACGGAGCGCAAGTATTTATACTTATTTGTTTAAAGAAAATTATCTTCCAAATGTTTGATTATGAATTTAATTTTTTTTTAATGGGTTAACTAATATTTATTTACGGGTTATTTAATGCAGAATTATATTTTGAATTGTAATTTTTTAATCATTTCACCCCAAGCAAGGCGGAAGTGCCACTAGCACGCAAGGGGTTACAGACAGTGAGAGCAGGAGTAAAGAGATGCGTTTGTGAAAAGGATAAAGAGAAGGACGGGGATCAAGATCAAGGCATCAGAAGATGTCGGTTGACATTGCATAGGAGTATTTGAAGATTATAGTTATCCGGGAAGCAAGTAAGAGGAAGGGAGTTTCACTGTCAGGAAGTGCGAGAAGAAGCTGTTTGAGTAGAAGAGGTGGTTACAATTACCTGTTTCGACAGTGAAGGGGTAGGACCGAGATGTCATCCTAGTAGCACGCTTAAATTCATGCAGTTGGGGTATCAGTGAAAGTAGCTCGAGAGAGTAGTTTCTATGAAAATATTTGTAGAAAAGACAGAGGGAAGCTGCATCACGTCTGTGAGAAAGTAAATGCAGACGAGATGCCAGATCAGGGACTATCACATTGCATATCTGTCTCTGGATTTTGTCGAGGACCTCGAGATGAACAGCGGAGCCACCAGACAACAGTATTCAATGCAAGGGCGAATGATAGATTTGTAGATTTGAAGAATGGACTCGAGCGAGGAAAACCTTCTTGCATGACACAGGCAAACAACTTTCTTTGTGGTAGATGAAGCTATTGATTCAATGTAGTTGTTCCAACTCAGGTCAATGGAAAGCCTGAGACCAAGAAGGCGAAGAGAGACGCTAATTTGGCAATTGAATGTTGCACTAACAATTTAATCATTAATTTTCATAAAAATCATTCAGAGCGTGATCTTCGTTGAAGACGATATAATATGTAGTTGAGCTTCATCATTAGATCACTGTTTTTAATTAATTAACCCGAAGCTAGGCGATAAAGCTACGAAAATGCAAGGTGTTAAAGGGCGTGAAAGAGAATAATAAGACTTTAAAAGGAACTGGAAACCCAATCCTAAACAAGAGACATGGGATAAACCTCTACTCCTGGGCAAAGTACCGTGGGAATCTATTGAGGTAAAAAAGGATTCTAATTGGATAATTGATATTTCTTTTTACAATAAACTGAATAAATAAATCTGCCATACAGAAAATAATGTGAAAATATTACTTTTATTTTTATTTCTGCAAATATTGTCTATAAAATTTAAATGACAACTTTCAAACCCAAATCAGGCCCAGGGAAGAAGGAAATAATATTTTATTTTTAAAATATAAAAAAAATAATGGAAAAAAAGAAAATTATATTTTAGTTTTAAAATATACCTAACATAAAGTAAACTAGAGGTGAAAAGAATGTTGCAAAGGAAAATTAGGCTTTTTAAATAAATCTGCAACATTGGTCAAAGGTCAGTGGCAGATTGTCCTGCTTCTTTGTTAAACTAATCGACGGGGGATTAAATGCCATGGTATACATACACACACACACACACACACACACACACACACATATATATATATATATATATATATAAATATATATATATGTTTATACATATATGTTTTTTTTTTATTTCGTTTCGTTACATCTTTTGGAAATGCTATCTGATGATTCAGAATCCTTTAAAAGGGCTCTTGTGAAATAAATTATTATAATGGAATCTTAAAGTGGTCTGTTTTTCTTAAATATATATATATATATATATATATATATATATATATATATATATATATATATATATATATTGTGTATTTGGGCAGCAACTGCTCTTTTATTTAAGTTTCGTTAAAAATTTTTCAAAATTTTAAGAGCACATGAAAAAAGTATATAAAATCTTAACTAAAGCACCTTGTCAGTTGTTTTTTATAATTTATAAAAAACAAACCACAACACCTTTTTTCAGTCGTTCGTTTTTAATTTTTCATGTGTTCTTATAATTTAGAAAAAAAAAATATATGAACACATGAAAATTATATACAAAAAATTAGCCACAGAACCTTGTCACTTGATTTTTACAAAGCTTGCATATATATATATATATATATATATATATATATATATATATATATATATATATATATATATATATATATATATATATACATATAAATAATATATATATATATATATATATATATATATATATATATATATATATTCGAATAAGTTTCTGTATGTGCGTATGGCTCTCATAAAATAATCCCCTTGTTTTAGCTTCTTTTTTCATCATTCTTCTTCTCCTATTTCTTCTTCTTCTAGTTTTCCTTCTTCATCTTCTTCTCCTCCTAATCAACATTCTTCTTCTTCCTGCGAACTCAAAAACTATTAACTTATTTTCCACCATATCTCTTTGTCAAAGGGACGCACACAATGTTGTGACACACGACAAGCGATGTGGTATGAAGAATTGGATTTTATAATCATGCTGGTTTTCTAATGCTTTCACACTTTAAATGTTAGTCCGGTTCAGTACTAGTGGTCACAACTCCTACTAGTAACTGAAGTATTCATCTAACTAAAATTAATTGATCTATGCTGTTGTCGCTAACCGTATCGATTATCATCAGCCATCAATCACGGCATTAAAAGCCAATGTATCAGTCTCTTAATGCTTGCCATTCTGTGCAACAAAAGAACTGCTGCCCGCCCCAGGTTTTATGTTATTGAAGTTTTCTCCTCTAGTTGATTAAGGTTTTGTATGGCTTCCACACATCGACCTGCCTGGCTAGGTTGGACATATGAGGAGAGGAAGCGTCACCAGCGTACCTCTCTGAACCTGGTGGGCATGCAAGCCACTCCAATATGTCTACGCACATAATCATTAAGTTCTTTTTTTTTCTGCTGACGATAAAGATATATTATGGTCATCTCTTCAAAATAGAAGGCATTTTTAATTATTTTTCTTGATTTTGATTTGAATAAATCATAAAAATAATAAATTATCTGATTATAAAGATCAAGAATACTTTATTTTGGGTTCAATAAAAGTCTTTCTCTATCGGAATGATTTTTACTGTTACTAAAACAACAGAAATGTTTTTCTACAGAAGAATACGGAGAGTACCCTCGACGGAGCATGTAAACAACAAGGAAGGGGACACATAATGAACAAAGAAAGCTTGGAGAATTTGACACTCACAAGATATATTAAAGTCAAGCGGGGGAGACAGAAACAGCGAGTAACCTATCTAATGAGCTTGTATAAGTTGCTTACAAAAAATGGTGTAGGAAGGATAGTTGGTCTACTATTTTTGTTTAGCGTTATATCAATCTTTATGGGTTTTTCTTTTAGTTTTGTAGTTAATAATGGTTTAGTGATACAACTTTTACTAATTAACTGAATTTCTACCTTTCCCAATGGTATTTCCTCGTAAGTGAATATAACGAACCCAACTGGAATTGGAACACGGCTCTCCGATTAAAAATTCCGAGTCATGATCCATTACACCACTCGCACATCCAAGCTTACAGCACCTGGTATTCCCAAGCGGTCACCCATCTAGGTACTGACCAAGCTCGACGTTGCTTAACCTCAGTGATCGTACGGGAACTCGGCTCTCCGATTAAAAATTCCGAGTCATGATCCATTACACCACTCGCACATCCAAGCTTACAGCACCTGGTATTCCCAAGCGGTCACCCATCTAGGTACTGACCAAGCTCGACGTTGCTTAACCTCAGTGATCGTACGGGAACTCGGCTCTCCGATTAACAATTTCGAGTCATTATCCATTACACCGCCTATACATTCAAGATTTCAGCACCTGATATTTCCAAGCTGTCACCTATCCGGGAACTGTCTCGAGTCGATCTTCCTTAACTTCGGTGACTGTGCTGGAAGCGGCGTTTCAACGTAATGTGACAGTAAAAAGGAAAGATAATTAAACTACTACATTGCTTGGTACTACAAATTACACTGGTCAACACGATTTTTGATGCAAAAAAAACAAACAAACAAAACAAGTTTTTTTACCCAATTCGATGGTGCTGATTCCGAAAGTGACCTTAGTCTTTCATCGTTATCTACCATTTTTGCTGTACTGAAATTGCTCATTTTTGGAAATGGCTGATTGCAAAATTTAGTTAATAAATGTCGTAGAAACCCATCAATTTTCATCTAAGCCTAGCAATTTATGTCAGCCACCTGAAATAAACTATTTTTATAAGAGAAAAGTGTTTTGAGTTTAAAATTTTGAAATAGAAGTATCGATTTATTCCTATTTATCGCCAAAATTCACATTAACTGATAAACTTTATTAGTAATACACTTTAGTAAGCCTGATAATTAAGGTTACATAAAAACTGAAACCCTAAAATTTTCTGTTTGATATTCATAAATTTATCCCATCACTTTTATCCCTTCACTACGGAAGGAAACCAAGCACACTGAGAGCATTTTGTTTTCACAATTGGTGAAAAAACTCCAACTAAAGACATCCCAATTGAATGCACCTATTTCTTTGTACATGATACTGCTGGAGTACCAAAAGGGACTTATGAACATGGCAGACATTCAAAAAAAGAGAAGATTTGTACCATATTTCTTATTTTCACAAAGGTTTTATTTCTGCTGTTATTTTATTAAATAATTTGACGAAAATACTTGTTAGTTTTGGTATATTCTAATAGTGTTATTTTTTAAAGACTTATGGTCTGATTCTTATTGATAATAGTATTACTTAATAAGCATAGCAATATTTGCTGTTGGTTTAAATACAAATTGAGTTGTTTCTACAATTTTATTTTGAGAAATATTGCCATCGGTTAATATCATATATACAAAAAAATGAAAAAATGATTTTTTCCAAAACTGAGGCATTTCTGTACAGCAAAAACGGCTGCTAACCAAGAAAAAATAATGTCATTTTGAGATTCAGCGCCATCAGATTAGCTAAAAAAGGATGCTTGTTTTCTCGACAACATTTCAAAACTTTTTGTTGGCCAGTGTTATAGGAAGCTGTGAAGAGCTATCACCGCCAGGATTTAAAGGGACATGCTACATAAAAGAATATTTCTATTTCATTTGGCATGTATATTGTAGTTTATTACGATAAACAGAACGTTAAATAGTGAAATGTTATTAAGTAGTGAAACTAATAATGCAGTGGTTAACATGCTAATTACAAAGGTTAATTAAATTGCTTTATCCTCATTGGGGACTTCATAAAATAGTTGTTTGCAGAAATTAGTTTAGTCCGTAAAATAAATGATGGAGATTGGCACGTCCTTTTTGATGACGGACGCCTTAAGACAATATTTACAATGGATCAGGCAATTTGCATAAAATTTCATCATCCATCACAGCAAACGCAATAATGCAAATATTTGTTAAAGAATTTTTAAAAAGTTAATAAGCTAGAGAAGTAGATTGACTTGCATGAAAATATTTGAAGAAAGAAAAGATGAAGAACATTGCTTAAAGACATGAAAACAAACAAAAGGATAAATTAATTAAATATCCCATTGAAAACCTATTTGCCAAGAGTGATATTTCGTGATGAATTTAGAGGTGTATTGGCAGATGGGTTAGAGATTAGACCCTTTATGGAAGTAGCTAACACAAACGGCTTGGAAGACAAAAGAGAGGGAGATTTCTGCTAGTATTGCAGACTGTAAAATTATAGGTCCTTTTAAAATTAATACTAGCACAAAGATAAATTCAGAGAATTATTGTAAGTTCTTGGAAAATACATTTCTTTATTGGTACACGTCACGACCAAGAAGCATTAACTTAAAGAGGATTCCCAAAGCCACCGAAATACCATCGGATCCAAATCTTTCTCACTCCTGTTGACCCCCTCCCCGAGTGACCATAGGAAGCTGCTGTACTCACCAATCCTTCCCAACTGCGGGTTGGTGATGCTATTTAACCCATAGTTAAAGGTTTTGAATCCAGAGTTGTCCTTCGGCCAAAACGGTTGCAAACCATGGATTAGGACACATTCTCTTCTGTTATTTACCCATAGGTGTAGGGAGAAGAGATGGATTTCACGTACGTGAACGTAACAAACCCGACTGGAATTCGAACTCAGCTCTCCGATTTCTCAATCCGAGCCGCTATCCATTACTCTACCGTGCCTAAAACGAATCCTCTTTCAAACAGAGTGATAAGATTCGGAGTAAGGTATCTTTCAAGAAGTACAACCAGGATGTTTTAAGATAATGTGTACATTCACGCAAGATAACGCTCTGTGAAATTCTTTAAAGCTGGCTAAAGAAACTAGATAAATGAAATTCACCCACAGCCTCTCTAGTCAATAGAAAACCTTGCTTCTATCGTTAAGATTGATGTATAGGTCAATGGAAGACAGTAAGATCAGAAGGAAAGAATAAAATCGCGTGAAAGCAATATAAGGTCTATATATTCGAAGAGTAAACAGAATAAATTGATAAAAGAAACTGATGAACGTTATGGAAGAGATTTAGGTGAGAAACATTGTCTAGCACGATACGGTTAATAAAAACAACTTTCTTAGCAGCAATTGGTTCAATAAAATCATTTTATTTCATAAGAGGCAAAAACATTAGATCGAGAATGCGAAAGAAATTGCTCTCCTGGAAGTTAGCATTAGTTCAAAAATTATAGCCGACATAAACATGTATTTGATTAACACAATATCCCATCTATGTAAATATATTATTGGTTTATTATTTTAATATTGATACAGGGGTCATGACGTACCAATAATAATAATTATAATATTGACTTCAAAAATAGTAGTAACATTAAAGAAAAAGGAAAAAAAATTAAAAAAAACATTAAAAAAAATAAACAAAACAAGAAAAAAAACAAAAACAAGAAAAAAACAAGAAAAAACATAAAAAAATATTAAAAAGCACATAAACAAATACGCAATTAATAAACATCTACATGGCGATTTTATAAACATAGATGTAGCACAAGGCTGAAAGTATGTGCACCCAGTGAGGATCAAGCTCATTATACAGTTGTAACTGTCCTAGCGAAACAAGCTTGCTAAACATTACACCACGATGAGGTGCCCAAACCAATATTTATATGTATGCATATATATGGTCAAAAAAGTAATGTAAATCTAAACATAGTCGTATGTCACATGTGCAAATACTCAGGTCCTTTCCAGCTATCAACACATAAAAAACAACAACAACAGCAAAAACAACAAAAGACGCATCTGTTTTACTTTTTATTTAAAAGAAAATTAGTGAGTGTTTGTTTAATCATAAATTACAGTTACTAAGTCTGAGAATGTAATTACTTTCAGCTTTTTCCGTCTGTACTGGACAAGGTTAGAAAGACGTCTAAAACAGTGTCTCCACTATGATTAGATAATTTGAAAAGCTATGTAGAATAATTACCTATCTATTCGTCTATGTCTGCAAGGTGTGATGGGTAAAATGTCGCCATTTTATATTTTTAATTTCGCGCATGCGCGTTGTTTCTTTTCGATTTTTTCGACTGCACAGTAGGGTCAGTTGGGCACCGTCTGTGAGAAAAAGACTACTGCGACGTAATTCACTTGCCAGAAATTATTTAAGTACACACACACACACACACACACACACACACACACACATATATATATATATATATATATATATATATATATATATATATATATGAGAATTTGGCACGGCAAGCGGAGGGAACCATTGAATAATCTATCTAATGAGTTTGTGTAAATGAATGGTAGAGCTTTTTCTCGGGGAGACAAAAGTGAGAAAATGTTAAGTACTTTAAAGGCTAGGAAGTTGTGGAGAGCCATGAATGTCAACGTCCGAAAGTGACAAGGTACATAAAAGAAGGTGTACCACTCAGATCGAACGTCGAAATGAAAGTGATTAAATTTTCACAATTTCTAAGGCATTTAGCTTAAACTTTTGAGAGACTCCTAAGGTACACAAAATAAATTCTTCATTTTTCGAAAACACTCTCAATACTTCTAAAAATTAACTTTAAATTGTTAACAATGATCAGCTTATTCTATTGTCTCAGGAAGCACCCGTATCCTTCGATCAGAATAATCTCTAGAAGATTAAGAATTGTCATATTTCTGCTCTATCGGGGTATCAGTTACTTAATCTTTAATTTCTAACCTTGATAGGGTTTATGCAGTCTTATGGCCGATTACATATTTTACACTCTACAGCAACTTTCCCACAAAAGCAAAGTCGCAAGACTATCTTTACTCTATCACTTCTTCCATGGCAAATGTTCAGATGAGATCTATTCTTTTGTTCCTACAGTTCATCATCCTTGGTATGACGATATACTACATCCGCTTCCTAGGTAAGATGATAAACTACGTCCAACAGCAAGGCCTCTGATCAGGAGGTTTTGAGAAGCGTTGAACCATCTCTTAATTGCTGGTGTTCCCAGGTCCACCTGGACCCGGGGTGATAGCATCTGTTAGGTGTTAATCTTGGCTTCCATTTTCCTTCTTTGGCATCCATACCATACACCTCATTTAGTCCTACTCGACCTTGAATTGCTCTTGAGCCTTGCTTCCAAATTTGGACAAATAGTTAACCCTACAACTGGGGCCAAGACACTATGAAAGTATAAAAATACGTTTTTATAGTAAAAATACCAGCAATACATTTTCATCGTAAAAATACCAGAAAATACATTTTCATCGTAAAATACCAGTAAATACATTTTCATAGTAAAAAACAATACCAGCAACTACATTTTCATAGTAAAAAAAATACCAGCAAAT